AATTTTGGGGAAACACAAACATCAGACCATAGCAAAGGTCAACAAACAAAAATCAATCATATTTCTACATAATGGCAATAAATATTGGAAACTGAAATTCTAAAAACAAAACAATTAACAATAGAGTAGAAAATGAAATGAATAAAACATGTACGGGTCTAACAAAACATGGTGTTATGAACTGAATCGTGCCCCCCCCAATTTATATGTTGAAGATCTAACCCTCAATGTGAATTTATTTGAATATAGGGCCTGTAAGAAGGTAATTAAAGTTACATGAGATTATAAGAGTGGGGCCCTAATCCGATAGGACTGGTGTCCCTATAAGCGGAACCTAACCAACAATACAAAGATGCAAGGAAAATAAGACCAGCAACACTGAAAGGAAAAGAAATCAACAGAGACAAGAGGGAAGGAGGGAGGGGGGGCAGGGAAAGGGAAGGGAAGGGGAAAGTCAAGGAACATATAGCAAGGACTCATGGACAAAACCAAAGGGGATGGATTGAGGGAGGGAGGGGGGAGGGGGCAAGGGAAAGAGGTGGGGGGGAGGCAGAGACAAATGTATTTGAAAAAATAAATTAAAATAAAATTTAAAAAAAAAAGAAGAGGAAAGGACACCAGAGTTCCCACTCTCTCTCTGCACAAGCACAGAGGCGAAAGGCCATGTGAAAACATGATGAAAAGGCAGCTGTCAACAAGCCAGGAAGAGAGGTCTCACCAGATCTTAACTCTGATGGCACCTAGACCTGGAACTTCTAGCTTCCAGGACAGTGACAAAATAAATTTTTATAGCATTTTGTTATGGCAGCCCAAACAGACTAATATATGTGTAAAGGATCTGTATGTTGAAAATTACAAAATATTGTCATGGGGAGCTGGATGAGGCGGTAGAGGGATCGGACAAAAAAGAAAAAAGGAGAAAAAACTCATGGACATGGACAACAGTACAGTGACTGCTGGCGGGGAGGTGGGGTGGGGTGAGGTGGAGGAGGGTAAATGGGGGATAAATGGTGATGGAGAGAGACTTAACTTGGAGTGGAGAACACACAATACAGTGTACAGATGATGTGTTGTAGAATTGTGCACCAAAATGTGCATAATTTTGTTAACCAGTGTCATCCCAACAACTTCAATAAAGGGAAAAAAAGAAAATTACAAAATATTGATGAAAAAAATCACAGAAAATATAAATAAATGGAGAGACATACTGTATTTATTGATTGGAAGACAACATAATAAAGACATCAATCCTTCCCAAACTGATCTACAGGTTTAACTCAATTCCTATTAAAATCTTAGCAAGATAATTTTCAGATATATAACAAGATTATTCTAACATTTTTATAGAAAGACAAAGGCAAAGGACAACAAGAATAGCCAAACAATTTTGGAAAAGTAGAATCAAGTTGGAGAAACCTGATTTTAAGACTTAATATAGTGCTGACTGGTGTGGCTCAGGGGATTGAGCACTGGCCTGCAAACCAAAGGGTTGCCAGTTCGATTCCCAGTCAGGGCACATGCCTGGGTTGCAGGCCAGGTCCCCGGTTAGGGGACGTGCAAGAAGCAACCACACATTGATGTTTCTCTCCCTCTCTTCCCCTCTCTGTGAAAATAAATAAAATATTCTTTAAAAAGACTTAATATAAATCTGCAGTTAATAAAGATGGTGTGATACTGGCAGAGCAATAAATACACAGATCACTAGAACAGAATATAGTACAGAAGCAGACCCTACAAATACGGCCAATTGGTATTTGACAAAACTGTAAAAGCAATTTAAAGGAGAAAACCGGTCCTTTCAACAAATGGGGTTAGAACAAATGGAAATCCATATGCAAAATCATGAACCTCCACCTAATCCTCACACCTTAGATAAAAATAAATGCAAAATGGATCATAGGTCTAAATGTAAAACCTTAAACTATAAAACACAGGAAAAAAATAGGAAAAAATCTTCATGACCTAGGATTCAGCAAAGAGTTCTTATACATGACACAAATAGTGCGTAGCATAAAGGAAATAATTTATAAATTGGACATTTTCAAAATTAAGAATTCTTGCTCTATGAAAAGACAAGCCACACACTTGGAGAAAATATTTACATACCATGTATCTGACAAAGCACTTGTACAGAGAATATATAAAGTATTCTCAAAAACTGAAAAGTGAAGGGATTGAGAAGTAATGATTGGTACTTACAAAATAGTTTTGGGGATATAATGCACAGCATAGGAAATATAGTCAATAATATCATAACAACAATATGTGGTGCCAGTTGTGTACTGAAACTATCAGGGGGAACACTTCGTAGAATATATGATTGTCCAATTACTATACTGTACACCTGACACTAATACAAAATAGTATCGAATGCAAATGGTAATTGAAAAAAATTTTTAATAGAAAAATAAATAGTGAGAAAACAATCCAATTTTAAAATAGGCAGAATGCCTAGCTAGTGTGGCTCAGTGGATTGAGCACCAGCCTGCGAAACAAAAAGTCGCTGGTTTGATTCCCAGTCAGGGCACATGCCTGCATTGCAGGCCAGGTCCCCAGATGGGGGCATACAAGAGGCAACTGGTTACTGTATCTCTCACATATCAATGTTTCTCTCCCCTTCTTTCTCCCTCCCTTCCCATCTCTCTAAAAATAAATAAATAAAATCTTGAAAAAAATGGGCAGAAGACTTGACTGAACAGAAATTTCAACAAAGAGGCTGTACAAAAAGTAAATAAGCATATATAAAGATATTCAACATCATTGGTCATTAGGGAAATGCAAATTAAAACCATGATAATATACCACTGTGCTACTACAATGACTAAAATTTAAAATCTTGACAATATCAAGTGCTGGCAAAAATGTGAAGCAATTCAATTTTTATAAATTACTGGTGAGCTCTGGCTGGTGTGGCTCAGTGGACTGAGTGCCAGCCCGCGAACCAAAAGGTTGCAGGTTCAATTCCCAGTCAGGGCACATACCTCGGTTGCTGGCCAGGTCCCCAGTTGGGGGCATGCGAGAGGCAACCGATAGATGTATTGATGTTTCTCTTCCTCTGTCTCCCTCCCTTCCACTCTCTCTAAAAATGAATAAATAAAATCTTTTAACAAAAGAAGGCTTGAGATTTAAAAATAAATAGATAAATAAATTGCTGGTGAAAATGAAAATGAGTCAACCATTCTGGAAAACAATTTGGCAGATTCTTAAAAAGGTAAACACACACTTGCCATATGACCCAGAAATCCAGTATTTACTGTAGAGAAATGAAAACAGATGTTCATACAAAAACTTGTTATGAATGTTTAAAGTAGCTCCACTAATAATTGCCAAAAACTGGAAACCATTCAAATGTCTTTCAACAGGAGAACAGATAAATAAGCTGTGGTACATCTATAGCATGGAATACCACTCAGCAATAAAAAAGGGAAGAACTACTGACACACAACAACCTGGCTAAATCTCCAGAGAATTATACTAAGTGGGAGAAAATCCAATCTCAAAAGGTCACATAGTATATGATTCAATTTATGTCATTTTCTTGAAATGACAAACATCTAAAAATGGGGAACAGATCTGTAATTACTAGGAGTCTAGGAATGGGATGAGAATGGAAAAAGGGTGGATGTGGCTATAAAAGGGCAATGTAAGGGATCCTTGCAGTGATGGAAATGTGTCTTGACCATATCAATGTCAATATCCTGACTGTGACATTGTACTATAGTTTTTTGAGATGCTAACATTGGGAGAAGTTGGGTAAAAGATACATGGGGTTTCTCTATTTTTTTTTTTACAATTGCATGTCAATCAATTCTCTTAAAGAAAATTCAACTTTTTTAAGGGGTTACATACCATATGATTCCATTTATATAACATTCTTGAAAAGATAAAACTATAATGACCAAAACAGATCTGTGGTTGCCTGAGGTTACAGGTAGGATAGCATGAGGCAGCTTTTTGCCATGATAAAACTATTCTTTATACATTAGTTACACTAATTTGTACATGTGTTAACATTTATTGAACTGGACAAAAAATCAATTTTACTGTACAGTAATTTAAAAAATAAACATTTTTATTGAATGTACTGGAGTACCACTGGTTAATAAAATTATATAGGTTTCAAGTGTACAGTTCTATAACACATCATCTGTATATTGTATTGAGTGTTTTCCTCCCCAAGTCAAGTCTCCATCCGTCACCATTTATCCCCCCTTTACACTATTCTACCTCCCCCCAGCCCCCTTCCCCTCTGGTAACCACCACGGTATTGTCTGTGTCTATGAGAGGTTTTTTTTTTCTTAATCCCTTCACCTTTTTACCAAGCTCCCCAAACCCCTCCTCCCTCTGATAGCTGTCAGTCTGTTTTCTGTATCTATGAGTCTGTTTCTATTTTGTTTGCTGAAAAAAAAAATTTTAATTAAAGTGAAAGGAAAAAGGTGGACTATGGGTGTCTGCAGGACTTTGTCACCTAGACAAATGAGAATCAAAATTCCAACTGAGAAAATTACTTCAGGAAAACCATTTGAAAGACAAGCAGTTCCCTAAGATATTTCACTTCCAAATTACATTTTGACATTAGGTCCCCACCTCACTGAGTAATTCTGTAAGAAATATCTGCAGGAAACCAAGGACTGCATTTTTTATCAGGCTGTAGTTGAAGACATTCCACCATCCACAGGAAGACCCTGCAAAGAAATGCCTTGAAAGACAATTGCAGGGAACACTTTCTTTCCTAAGGACTTGGTGTGTTCTCGCTATTATGAGCAAGGTGCGCCAGGTTACTGGTTACATTTCCTTCTCTATAGCTGCCAGAGACTCAAAGAGACTCATCATTAGTATCTGTTACAACCTAAGTCTTCCACATGTCTACACTGGCCTTGCACCTTTCATTTTCCCTGAACCTAATGCTTATTTAGAAATAATTTTCCCATTTTATGTCAAAGATTCCTACATAGCTCATCACATCCATGGTAAAACAAGAAGGAACAGACAATTCTTACCTGGGCTTCAGCCATTTCCTGCTCTTCTTGGGAAAAGGCAGATAGATGTGTGACGGCCTGAGCTGGAAGAGTAGAGAAGTATAGAGCATATGAAAACCCCCATCAGGCTTCCGGTGGCCAGAATTATCTGCCTACAAAGCCCCTCACACCAGCTAGACATGAGGCTGCTCTGTGGAAGTTTGGGCAACCATGTGGTTGTAACAATGACCTATGTGTTCTTGCCTCTTTTCCTCGTGCGAATATTTAACACAAAATGTTTTTTCTATATACACTTATGTACTGACCCAGAAATTGTATTTCTAGGTATTTTCCTTAATGGAAAAAATGTATCATAATTTCCCTGTACCTTCATCTCAGCACTGACTGCAACAATGCCAAATTTAAACAATCCTATATGACCCATAATACAGGACTGATAAGGAAACACAAGAGATGAAATGCTCTGTAGCTTTTAAAAAGAATGTTGTATGGAACTGTGTATTTCTTATGTGTGTACCTCTTTATTGAGGAAACATTAGTTTATTACATTATATAAGTTTCAGCTGTTCAACATTGTAATTTGAGGACTGTTTATACCACATTGTACTCACCTATCTGTGTACTTTTCTGTACATATACCTAAGTTTTTAAAATGTTATAAGTTTTTAAGCTGAATCACACTAAACTTGTAAAGTAAAAAAAAGGCAGATTATAATTGCAGGAACCCATTTTAAAACTGTGTATTAAATGTTTAAAAACGCAGACCCCTTAAAAGAATGGATATTTAAATGTAGGGGGATAAAATTAGTTCCTTTTGGTTTTCTTTTCTTCTATTTTCTAATCTAGAATTTAAATGAGTTACTTATCTGTAAACCGCCAAGAAAACAACTTTTTAAAGCATCACTCCATGACATTAGCCAATCCCCCAACAGACCCAGCAGACCCAGGCCCTGTCCCCCCAAGCCCAAGTTCTGAGTGAGGCCCTTAGGCAGGTGAGTGCTCTCAGATGCCTTCTTCCTTCTCCTCACCTCACTGGGGCCGTCTTGCCCAGGAGCCAGAAGGAAGCCTTCGGGTGTAGAGTCACTTCAACTGGAACACTGACGCCCCTACCTCGGGGCTTGGGCAAGGGGAGAGAAGGGGCACACCTAAGGAGGGGCCTGAAGGGTGCTTTGAACCCTTTGTGCAGGTCACTGTGCTGGAAAATGTATAAAAGTTAACATTTAATAAGCCCCATTCAATCCTGACTAGTCCCATAACTTTGCCCACCATTGAGCCCAAACACCATCTTTCACTGACCTCTCGGTCCCCTATCATTCAACCCACAGCCCTCTACACCAATGACCCCCACAAACCCCCCTTTATTCGTCCCCCAGAACGCCCCATCACTCAGCCCATCGCCCCTAGCACTCGCCCTCTCAACCTCTCTTTCTCTCTCTCGACAACAGATTTTCTGCTCGCTGCAGAGGAGACCGTTACAAGAACTAGCCCCAAGATACACTTCCGCTTCGAAACCAACTCCGGCACCGCAGCCTACAGGGTTGCAGGGGCCGCGTGTGCGCGCACGCTCAGTTGGAGCTCGGAGCCCGTGTCCGCCAATAGTCAACACGCGGCCTCCTCCCACCACCCGAAGCAAGAGTGACGCGGCCGCGGCGCAGGCGCACGCGCAGGCGCAGAGGGGAAATGGCCGTGCTAGTGATGTCACTCCAAGGAGATGGATACTCCCACCGCGTCTCCTCCCTTGAAAGGTTGCCGCGTCCACCAGGTGTTTTATTTTGTTCTGCGGAGACCGCCATTCCTAAAACTCCCAATACCAATTTTCTTGTGGCGGGGAGGGGAAGTACCCAGTTAAGGAAAGTTCTAGCACGAAGGATTTTGGTGTCGAATTTGGAAGGGCAGCATCGTGTTTGCAGGTGGAACTGAACAGTAAGATGAGATGCGAAGCAGAACTGCAAGGCGTGGACATAGTATAGGAGCTAGAGAAATGTCTCTGGCTCCATCCAGTGGCTAGAGCTGGGAGTTTACAATCAATCTTTTTAAAGTCAAACCAGAAGCTGAAGAATAAATAAACGGCGACCTAGAACGGACACGCACGCGGGCGTACACACACATGCACACACTTCGGAGCGAAGGGGGTGTGTTAAGTAGAGTTGACAAGTTGCTTCCTCTGGATGGGCAGGGACGACCTTCTTTCATCGGAGATGACAGTTACACAGTGCAAAAGGAGCAGGCCACACAAATAATCTGAAGCAAAGAGCTTTCTGGTGGAGGGCACAGATGTCAAAGGTCCTGAGGTAGGGCCCAGTTTGACGTCTTGGAGGAACAAAAACTGTGTCATTGTATTGGGAGTGTAGGAAGCATGGGCAAGGGAGGGGTGAATGGGGGACTAGATGCTGCAGGGCCTCCTCTGCCGGGAACAGAGCTCATGTTTCATTCTGGACCTAATGGGAAGCCATAACAAGGATCAGATTTTTAAAAGACCAGTTTGAAGTGATCTAACATTGTATATTAATGTTAAAAATACACATATATTTGACTCCTGTTTTTTGTCTGTCTCGCATCACTAGAACATAAGCTCCACAGGAATTTGCTTAAGTACCTCCCATATGCGGGTAGTGTTCTAGATAGTGGGAATACATCAGGGAAGAAAACAGACGCAAAAACAAACAAACAAAAAAGGGACCACTATGATGGAGACAGCCTTGTTTCAAACTCGCACCTACCAGTTGTGTAACCTAGGGTAGAATTCAACTTCTCTGGGCTGTTTCCTCATCTATAAAATGGGGGTACTGACAATACCTACTTCTTTAGGGTTGTAGTGGCAAATGCATTGATAATTGTAAAGGGTTTAGAACAATGCCTGGCACATGGCAAGTGCTATATAAATGTTGATGATGATTTAAATAAAATCAGACTGTGTGTGTATAAAACTTTTTAATAAAAAAAAATAAAAGATGGTGTTGAGACTAGACTGCAGAGGGCAAAGGTGAAAACAGGAAGATCAGTGAGGAGGCTCCTGCCAACAGGCACAGCAAGTGATAATGAGGGCTCAGACCTATCACATTATCTTCCTCTGTGCCAGGCACTGTGTGAAGCACATGACATGACCTGCCTCAGCGAGCCCCCACTATCTCTGAACAGTCCTATGCATCCCCCTCACTTCTCATATAAAGAAACTGGGTCACAGAGAGACTAAGTAACTTTCCCAAGGTCACACAGTTTCTCAAGGTCAGATCCTTAACTTCCATCCAATAATACTCTTGTTTATTCAATATCCCACAAAACTTCCAGAAAGTATCTGAGGGTCCTCATTCTAGAAGTATTAAAACTAGTCAAGGAATGTTTTCACCAGAAATATATATGGAGCTTCCTAGCAGACAAAACAAAGAGAGAAAGCAGGGGAGTAACTCAGATCTCTTGCTCTCTGGGTACAAAATGTATAACCTCTTTGAATGAATTAGGAAGTAGAAAATGGGAGCAACTGGACCGTTAGGCTCACCCAAGTCTGGCCTCTTCCAGCCTGTAACCATCATTTCCCTACCACCTTGTACGTACACACACACATACACATGGAGAAGGAAATCCTTTAGGGTTGGTGGATGTTAGGGTGCAGTGGTTGCCAGCTCCAAAATGTTCTGAGCCAGTGACACAGCCCCTCAGAAACTGTCCCAGGGTTCACAGTGCTCATCCACAAGCTATGTGAGGCCAGGGTTTCTACTGCAGAGTGGGACCTCCACTCTCTCTCTTGGAAATCTTCTACCATCAGACCCTGCAGGTGAACCCTCCTCATACAGTGGCCCAAGCAGCAGATAGCTAGGCGAAGTAGTGCAGAAAGCTAACAGATTGTCCCACCGCCAAGTCTGCACACGTGACACTCGCACCCAAAGGCCTTCCACCTCACTGGTGAGTCATTACAGTGCTCTTAACATACATTTTATCAAAACTATGAAAGTTGCAAATTGTGAGCAGTCATTTTAGACCATGAGGTAGCAGGTGAGTTTGATGGAAAAACGGCACAAGAGATAGTTCTCTGGTGATCTTGGAGCTGTCACGCTTGCCCTGAACTACCTGCCTCCAGTGAGGAATCCCATTCCAACCTCTTAAAGCCACTGGTATTTGTAGTGGTGTTGGTATGTGCAGTCAAACCAAATCCTGAAAGATACATCAGACTTTCCTGTCTTGGTTGATGTGTCAGTAAACGTGAGACACATGGTACTGGGAGGGTGGTGAATAATGGTGGATGAAGGACAAATTGGGAATGAATTTGGAGGGGCAAAGGACTATGGAATGGAGGTGAAAGAGCAGTAGAGTGGAGTGAATGTGAGCAGTGTGAGACAGAGTGAGGAAGTAACTATACATTAGATTGTGCCCTAATCTGAAATTATGGATGGACTGAGTAAATGATAGCAAAATGAGATACAATCTAAATGTCAAAGAGTTAAAATGGGAGCAGACTGTGAGTGAATGGAGTAATGAAAAGCATTAATATGGAGTTGATAACGCATTAGAGTTGAAATGAATACTAAGGATTACAGTGTTAATTAAGGATGGTTTATGAGGCATGGTATGAGCAAAGAGAAGTGAATTTTGGGGGAAGGTAGGAGTGAATGGAGGTAATGTGGTGCATAGAGGGAAGAATGGGGTGCACAAAGGACAGAACAAGAGGAAATGGAGATAGATCCATAGCCGACTATGAATACATGAATCAGGTTGAGTTGGGATAGTATGAGGGGAAGGAGGGTGATGAAAGGTGAATGAGAGGCAAGCTGGGATTACATAGGGGTAATGCAGAGCAGTGTTCCAGAGATGTACGGGAATCCCAGTGTGAATCAGCCCATGTGAATGAACTGAAGCATGTGCGTGAATGAAGGCAATGTTGGAAAGGGTGAGAATGGATGGAAGTAAACGGAAGAGGAAAGTGAGTAACTGGGTATTGTGAGGCAAAGGGAGAGGGAACGAAGTTCCACTCACATGGCCCAAGATGAGTAAGGGGTCCAATGTGAGCAAAAAGTGGTGAATTCAAGGTAGAATGTGACTAAACAGGGGTACAGTGAGGCAGATTGGGAGCAACTAGACTTGAATCAGGAGCAAAATGGGAGTGATAATTGGAAATAGGGGTTACACTGGGAGTAAATTTAAATGAATGAGATAATGAAAGACAGAGTGAGAGTAAATGGAGACAATGAAGAGAAAATTTAGAAAGCACGGAGGTGCCCAAGCACAGAGTATACCTAGGTAACTTGAGCTAGTGTTTAGGAGTAATATGAGACACAGGTCCAGGAAATGGGGGTATATGGGGGCAGCATTAGAAAGAACAGAAGTGAAGAACAGACAGAGAATAAGGGAGAAAAATGAGGTCCAGAGTCAATGAACAAAGCTGAAAGATGGGTCATGTGAGAGTGAACGGGAGTCATTTGATGCAGTGTCAGGAAGTGGAGGTGAAAGTAGGAAATGAATGTGAGTGAATGGGGGTGAAAAAGGAATATGATGTGAGAGAATTGGGGTAATGATAAGGAGACAGTTAGGGAATTATAGTAATGGGAGGCCCAGTGTGAATGAATATGAGTGGATGAGAGGCAGTGTAAGTGAATGGGGAATAAAAGGTAGAATGAGAATGGAGGTGAAAAAGCAGTAGAGTGTGTATACATGTAATATATAACATATAACATGTAACATGGGAAAGAGTGTGGGGTAACGTGAGGCAGATTCCAGTAAATTAGGGTGAAACAGGGCACAATAAGTGAAAGATGTGCTGAGAATGAGTAAATGGAGGCAATGGGGGGAGACAGAGAGTGAGGGCATGCTGGTCATATTTTGCAAAGCACAAGGAATCTGAGATGGTAGTAAGCACAGTGTAGTGAACAGAGCTTACTACTCAGCAGAATGGGGGGCATGGAAGTGCTGGACAGAGTGAATGAAAATGGAAGTAACCAAAAAAAGAAAAAGAAAGAAAGTGGAGGTAACCAAGTGCTAGAGAATGATTAACAGTAGAGTGACACAGTGTTAAGGAATGTAGAGAAATTTGCGCCCAGCATGAGTCCTGTCTGTCCTTTGTGTGTCCCCAGCACTCCTCTCTCTATATCTCTGATATCTCAGTGTCTCCCTGATTTTGTCTCCTTCCATCTCTGTGAATACGTCAGTGTCTTTCTTTTTCCAAGTGTGTGTGTGTGTGTGTGTGTGTGTGTGTGTGTGTGTGTAACAGAGCTGGCACTGAAGAAGATGGTGAGGTGCCTAGCCCTCTGGCTCCTGTGTTACAGAACATCTATCACTTAACTCTTTGCTCATAAAGCCCAGAGTTCCAGAATGCCAGAGTTCTGAACACTGTGTGGTGAGTCTGGAGCAAGGAGTCTGATAGGAAGGCTTGTGGGAGTCATAATGCAAACCTGGGGCACTGTGGTGGTGACCCTGACAATGATGATAGTTGCCACTGTGGATGCCAAGATCTATGAACGCTGTGACCTGGCAATGAAGCTGGAGAAGGCAGGCCTCAATGGCTTTCGAGGCTATGGCATTGGAGACTGTGAGACCTCATTGCCCCATGCCCCACCTATACCCTAAACCTCTCACCACACTCAGATACAGGCCCCCCCCTTTTCATTTATCACCTCCCCAGGCCAGGGTATAATCCCCTCAGTCACTCCCTGACTGTGATGTGTGGTTTAACCAACTCTGATATTACTACCATCATTGCCTTCACAATCATCATCCTCATCTCTACCATCAACACCATCATTACCATTGATATCATCACTGCTATTACCACCATGAATACCATTAACACTGCTATCATTGACATCTCACCAAAATCACGAACATCAACACCACCATCAAACCAAGATCATCAGCCCCACAACTGAGATGACAACCATCCCTGTCCCCACCCCTTTCCTCTTAACCTCTTCTATTCGCAGAACCCATGCCCACCTGCTACCTTCCCTCTCCCTGCCCCAGGGCTATGTGTGGCACATTATGAGAGTGGCTTTGACACCTCCTTCATGGACCACAATCCTGATGGCAGCAGTGACTACGGCATTTTCCAGCTGAATTCTGCCTGGTGGTGTGACAATGGTGTTACACCCACCAAGAACCTCTGTCACATGGAGTGTCATGGTGAGGCAGCAATGGGGATACCTTGAAGCCCTTCCTGGCCCCAACACACAGAGGGCAAGGTTATCTAAGCCATAATCTCCAGTAACAAGCAGAAAAACAATAGGAAAAGGAGCAGATTTGCCTGGGCTGGTAGAGACACCACCCTTTCTCCTTACCCAGACTGCACTGAAATGTTGTCTGGGTCAGGAGGACTCAGAGCTCCTAAACTTCACCAGGAATGGAGGCTGCAGTTTTCTGGCCCTCAGGAAACAGGAAACTTCACTCCATGTGGAATTGAGATTGCCCTGATTTGGGGTTGAGATTGTTCATCTCTTGAGGTGAGGGAAGAAGCAGACACCCTCGTAGGAGGGTAGGAACAGAAACAAGGTACCTCTATAATTGTAGGAACAGAAACAAGGTACCTCTGTGCAGAAAGTAGACAAACTTCCAGATAAAATTGTAGTGTTGTTGAAGATAAAATTGAATAGCAGTAGAAGCTGTTCAGGGTTGGCCAAATGGTGTTTGAGGTTGTCCAAGACAGATCAAAATGGAGACTGAGGTTATTTGAGTCATTAATATCATAACCAGTCAAAATGGAAGTTGAGGTTATTCAGGACCTGACAACACAGTGTTTAAAGTCACCAGGACTGACCAAACTTTCAGTTGAGTAGCTTCCCAACCAGCCAACATGGTGGTTGACATGATGTCAGACCAGCTACCACTGCAGTTGAGATCACTGATAACCACATAAAATAACAGTTGAAGTCATACAGCACTGGTCAACATGGCGTTTAAGGTTGTCCAGAACCGACCAATATGGTGGTTGAGGTTATTCATAACCAGCCAACATGACAGTCAAGGTCGTCCAGGACCAGTCAAATGAGTTAGGTTGTACGGAATCAGTCAACATGACAGTAGAGGTAACCAGCTGACAAGTAAATCAAGGTTATCCAGAATCCACTAATGTGGTTGTTATTCAGGACCCAAGAAAACCAGAACCCCTGGGCCCTACATACACTGTTACCCTGTCCCCAATGCACCAGGTCATTGCATCTCTCTCTTTCCCCCAGACCTTCTCAACCGCCATATTCTGGATGACATCTTGTGTGCCAAGCAGGTAGTGTCCTCACAGAATGGTATGAACGCCTGGTAAGTTCACAGGAATGGCTTGGACCCCGGGCAGCTGGGGTAGTGGCACCACCACCCCATCAGCCTGTCCACTTCATCCTCCCTCCATCCTTCCTTTTCCCAGGGGTTCCTGGATCCAGCACTGTTATGGCCATGATTTATCTGAGTGGCTCAAGGGGTGTAATATGCATGCAAAACCTGGCACAAAGAGAATGACTTCATGATTCATTTCCAGAGACAGAGATTTCACTTTCCTTCCTTTTCTTTCTTTTGTGGACTTAATAAAGGATGGTAGCTGTAAACAATGCAAGAGACACTCTGATGCCTGACCCTCTTCATTTTTCCAATGCCTGGAGGTATCCCCATTCAATCAGACTCATATATTCAAAGCTCTAATCAGGGGACACCAGATCACTCAGGGTTGTAGAGGATGTGGAAGATACTGTAGTGATTAAGAGCATAGGTTTTCTCAGGTTCAAATACCATCCCTACCACTTACAAACTATGTGCCTTGAGGGAGGCACATAATATCTCCATGCCTCAGTTTCTCATCTGCAAAATGAGGATGATAATGACAGTAACTATCTCATGGGGTTGCAGGAGAATTAAATGAATTAATGTTCGTAAAGCACATAAAGTGAAGGGTGGAGATAGGTGGCTTCCCTTAAAAATCATCACTCTCAGTTGAGGACACTACAGGGTCTTTAACTAAAGCAGATACAGTCTCTTCAGGAAGCTCAGTGGGAAACAAAAGTTTAAAGTACTCACGTTCTTCCACATGCTCCCACATTTTAACTCTCAGCCCCCACTCCCTTTCACAGTCAGTATCCTAAGTTTCAAATGATGGACTGGGAATTTAACCCAGGGATTCCATGAATGCACAAGGTAATAATTGCCTTTTATGGTGCACCTGGGTTTTAGTCTGTGGCTTGAGCAGAGAATGTATGAATCTAAACTTGCAACTCTTTTTCTTTGTGCTGCCAGACCCATTGGAAGCAGCCACACCCATGAGGAAACAATCCTTCATGTTCTTTGTACTCTTTGGTTGGGCGTGGGTACTCATCTACTCAAAGCCTTGTTTTCAGTTTTTACTTCATCCAAGTTAAGCACAGACAGTCATTAAAGCAGGTATCTGCCACTGCATGTCAAGGAATTCCCGAGCCCCTATCCTTAATGCCAACAGGATTTCCTCTGCCTTCAGCCCCAACCAGTCTAGATAACCAAATCTCACATTTCCTTGAGGATCCATAAAGGGTGCCATTACTCTTTGTACCAATTTCTGAATGTGAGAGTTATTTATCAAAAATATCAGAAATAAACTCTGATGACTTTAAGTAACAAGCAAATTTCCTAAAATCTTATCAGGTATTTCTGGGAAGGTTGCATGATCAAGCTCAGACAGAGGGAAGCACACCCAAAACCTTGACCATAAAAGAGGCTGGGGAAGAAATACTGTATTATCAGTTGTTGCTACTTCTGGAAACTGGATTTGATGCCCTAGTGTTCTTCTTTTTTTTCTTTATATTGTTCTGATAACAAGTACAGAGGCCAAGGGGTTTTTTGTTTGTTTTTTTGTTTTGTTTTGTTTTGTTTTTGCATCAGGACCTTGGTTCTTGCCATTCTTTCTGCCTGGAATGTTCTTATTCCAAGTATGGCTGGCATCTCATTTTCAGATCTAAGCTCAAAATGTCATGTTCTCAGAAAGGTCATGCCTGACCACCTTAGCTAAAGCATGATCCCCAACGTTACCTTTTCCTTTTTCTTTGACTTTTCTATGAAGCATTTCCCATTTTCAGTTCTGTCACAAACTTTCTCTTCTCTGAGTTTTTTAATCCATCAGGAGCCTTAACTTCTGGAAGGAGGTTTTTCTCATATTCAGGACAGTCGTAAGGTTTCTATCCTATGTGGGTTCTCTGATGTACAGTGAGTTTTGACTTCTCACTGAAGGCTCTACTACACCTATCACATTTACAGGGTTTCTCTTCATTTTGAGTTCTTCAAAGTATAATGAGATGTAATTTCTGGGAAAAAACTTTATCACATACATTACGGTCACAGGGTTTTTCCCCTCTGTGAACTCTCTGATGAATTATGAGATATGATTTCTGGAAGAAAGCTTTATCACATTCATTGCATTCATAGGATTTCTCAAATTTTTCTCCTGTGTGAGCTCTCTGCTGTAACATGAGCTATGACTTCCAGGAGAAGACTTTTCCATATACAGTACATCATCAGTTTTTTCTCCTGTATGAATTATTTGATGAGCACTGAGACTCAGCTTAAAGGTGAAGGCTCTTCACAGTCTGAAAACATATAAGATTTTTCTCTTGTATGAGTTCTTTGATGTCTACACAGTGTTGATTTCTCTCTGAAAGATTTGCCATCTCTGTTACATTCATAGAGTTTATCTCTTGTGTGTGTCCTCTGGTGTACACTGAGGTGTGCCTTTTGATTGAAGGTTTTCCCATGCTCAGAACATTCTCCTGTGTATAACAAGCTTCCTCTTTTCTTGGGAGGTTTTGCCACACTTATTGCATTCATACAGGTTTTCATCTGTATGAGTTCTTTGATGTATATGCAGTGTTGATTTCTCTCCGAAGAAATCAACATTTATTACATTCAAAGAGCTTGTCTCGGGGGTGTACTCTCTTATATACATTGATGTGTGCCTTCTTGTTGAAGACTTTTCTGCATTCTGAACATTCATTTGGTTTTTCTCCTGCTTGCAGTAAGGAGTAAATTCTTGTGGGGAGTTTTTCTATGCTCAGAAATTAATAGGTTTTCTTTCTAGCTTGAGTTGTGTTATGCTGAACAAAGGATGGGTTATGATTATGACTTTTCTCACCCACAGTATAGTCATGGCATTTCATTCCATTCTTTTTCTCATACCTGCCATGAATTAATAATTTACCACATTCTCTACATTCATAACATTTCCATGATACAAAGCCTCTATTAAGACTCAGTAAGGCTAAATTATCTGTAGAAATTTTCCCATATGAAATATATATATATAGATATAGATATAGATATAGATATAGATATAGATATAGATAGATAGATAGATATAGTGTGTGTGTGTGATAAAGAAACCACCCAAGTATTCTGAGGAAGTGGGTTTACAAATCCATGACATTCATGGCCTATCTCCTAAGGTACATTCTTCTCCTTAATGGATATAGGTTGCCTCAGGTGTCTGTTTTGGTTTTCCCGGTGTCTCTCCAGCTGATCATTAATTTGCCAGACTCATAGAAAGAAGAAGCCATACCCTGTAAATACACCTTTGTCATAACCAGATCTCTGGTGGGGCTGACTTTTATTTTAAGTCTATATACTAGTCAGAAGTACATGTCTATCCTACACTCTGAGCTTGAGGGGGTAAAACCCCAAATTTCTCTAATAAAAATTGGAACAGGGAAGTAATAAATATATGACTTTGATTGTTTAAGAAAAATACCTTAAAATTGAAGAGAGAAGGTGAATATAGGTTTAGGAAGCCATGAGTAGGAAGAAAGGATTTTGAAAAGGCAGTAGATCCAGGATTTGTAGGGAGGGGACTCAAATAGAATGAAAAGAGACTGTCAGGAAAGCTGGAAATAACTGAGATGACCAAGAGAATAAGCAAAAAGACAGGCTGGATTATAGTCTAGTTTCTCACCATCTCATTCCAAGATTACCATCAGACAGTAACTCACAAAACTAACAATTTGTTGTTAGCAAAACAAAACAAAACAAAACAAAACAATCCATACCTTTAGGAAGATATTTCTGAGCCTTTAAAGATGTCCAGCCCTCACTGGCCCACTGGAATCTTACTCTCATCATCTCCCACCTGTTCATTACTTATTTACCTGTACAATTCAAAATTGGGATTTCTTTCCCTATGATCCAAAGCCCTCTCTTCTCCAAAGGGGCAATCACATCTTGTTTGGTAACAGGATACCCTGTAATGAGAAATGATACAAAACTTTGGCACATCTGTGTAATTAGGCCTCAAAGTAATTAGGGGGACACATTTTAGTAAGTGTAAATTTCACATGGGAGATGAGAATACAAATATCTTGGCTTCTGATCAAAATGGCAGCATATCCCTGACCGATGTGGCTCAGTTGGTTGGGTGTGATCCCCACAAAGTAAAAGGTTACTCCTTCAATTCCCAGTCAGGGCCCATACCTAGGTTACAGGCTCAGTCCCCAGTTGAGGTGTGTATGAGAGGCAACCAATCGATATTTCTCTCTCACATTGATGTTTCTCACCCTCTCTTTCTCCCTCCCTTCCACTCTCTCTAAAAATAAATTAATAAAATCTTTTTTAAAAAAGATGTCAGCATAAGTAAGTGCAGTACTCCCATCCTCCCACAACCACATCAGAATCACAACTAAACTACAGAACAGCATCATTCAGAACTGCCTGAAATCTAGCTAAACAGAAGCCCTACAACTAAAGATATGAAGAAGCAGCCACATTAAGACTGGTAGGAGGGGCAGAGACACATTATGGGCTGGTCCCCCACCTATGTGTGATGGATAAAAATTGGGAGGGATATCTGCTTCAGCGATCTCCCTGAGGAGCAAGGGGTCCCAGCCCCACACCAGGCCCTCTCAACCCAGGGTTCCAGTGCCAGGAAGAGAAGTACCCACAACTTCTGGATGTAAAACCCAGCAGGGATTGTTGCTGACTGAGACAGAGGGCTCCTGGAGTCCCAGGTATTCCACTTAAAGGATCCACACATGGACTTACTAGGACTCGTTCTGAGCTCCAGCACTGGGGCAACAGCTCAAAGGGCACCAGAGACATATGGGAGAAACTGAATTGTCTGGCATCAGGGCGAGAGCTGGGGGACAGCTTTCTGCCAGACAGAAGTGCTAGAAGAGGCCATTGTCCCTTTTCTGATCCCTTCCACCACAGAGCCAGCAGGTCAGCACCATAACAGAGTCTTTATCAACTGAGCTGACATTGTTAGGCCCACCTTGGTAATTCCCTGAAACCCCCACCCAAATTGAGAGCACACCCGAGCTGTTTCCAGTGGCTTTTCCATACGAATGACCTGTCCTGAAAAGATACTCAAACTCAAATAATTAAATAAACACAAACAAAAGAAAGAAACCAGATGTTTTCAACTATCAAATGGCAAGGATTAAAAGTATGATAAAATGATTAGAAAGGACATTTTCATTCATTATTAGTGGGAGTGTGAACTTGCACTAACTTTTCAAAAGGCAAT